GGCATTTTCGAACTGTATTTGATGTCCGGTATCAAATATAATTGTAGTGGAGTACATATTACATATGTGTGGGACCTTAACACCAAATCGGATGAATCATGTATTATGTGGGAGCTGTAGCTATATTGGAATTGATTTTCATCAAAACTTAATGTAGTTGCTTCAAACCGTGCTTTGAACCGAATGCGAGCTGCATTTTGTTTATAAAAATACTTGGGCAGACAGACTGATGGACGGTCATTCATAAATCGACTCATTCATGATTCTACGAAGATCTTCGAAAGTAACTATGTGTCTATTCTAGATTCTGTAGGTTGTTTATGTACTCCATAGTAATTGGAATGATTTGAGGTTTCATTCTATATTCCATAGTAAATGGATAAACAGTACTATACGAAATCCCGTGAGGCTTTTATAAAAACCCGCATCGGAAAAAATAGAGGATATGTAGGTCTTCTGTCTTCTTATTCTTTATATATACAAGGTGACGCCATAATTCTTACATTTTTTTTTTAATTTTATTGAATGAAAACAAACAATGTCGGAAATAGCATCAACTTTTAGAATAACAATCGAATTGGTCACATTTGGCACGAATTATGACCTTTGAACGGCCAATGAAACCGTCACACGCTGCCTGAATTTTGCTCTGCGGTATTTTAGCCCTTCCCGGCGAACCGCTTGCTTGAGGTGATCGTAATGCCACGGTCGATTAATAAGAGTGGAGAGCGACCATCGGCTGTTATGGTGGCCCACACCTTCACCACGGCCGGCGCTTGAGTTCTGTTGGCCAACCGAAGGTGCACATTTTCAGCTGACCTCTCTGGCAAGTAAATATCGATCATTTTGTTTGTTTACAAACTGCTGGACAACGAATGTTTTTTTCACCGGAGAAACCTCTTTTGAGTCTATTTTCTTTCTGTTGCGGTGTAAGTTCTTGCACATTTTTGGAATTTCAATGGTTTTACCCCGAGCTCATTTTTCAGTATTTGCCGAATAGAATATTGCGATGTGTTCAGCTCACGAGCCATTTTTCGGCCACTGCGACGCGGTTTTTGATCAAGTCGCTTCTATACTTTTCGAACAATTTCTTCTGATGTTGCTGTTTTTTTTTCGTCCACCTCCTTGACTTCGGGCTCGGCTACCAGTATCACGGTAACGAGGGATTCTACGAGACATAAAAGTTTATTCACATTTAAATGCTGGAGTGCTCTAACGATAGCCACTTGTGGTTTTCCAACCAAATATAAAGAAATCACAATATCACGAATTCCATCAGGAATAATTTTTTTTCTGGAAAATTCTCACCAAAATGATTTTGTACGCTTGCAAACAATATAATGAGATATCACTGCAATAATTTTAAGAGCTGTCGGACGAGTGTCTTAGAAATGATAGCAGTCTGAATTTGGTTGCAATTCTTTTATCTCTCCCTGTATATTTTCTGTAACAAAGAGGGGGATCCTCGTGTATTTTATAACTCGGTGTTTCCGTTGTCGTCTACAGGAAGACCTTTAAGCTATGCTATTTTAAACAGTGGACCACAATGGCTCCCACGGCAAAAACAATTTTTCTAGGTTTTTAAAATTAAATAAATGATCTCTAGGTCATCTATAGTAAATGAAATACCTCCAGCTCTTCTGTAGAAAAATAGGAATATGGTTCTATATGGAATATAAAATACGTCTGGATGTTATTTGAAATTATAGGTAATCCAGTTTTTATGTACTAAAGACATCTTCATTTTATATAGAAAAATGTTATTTAGTCTCCTTCCTCTTCTATATTAAATTGGATATCTTTGGTTTTCTGTAGTAAAAAAAGAAGACTTCAAGGCCTTCCCGTGAATATATAATTGTTGTTCTAAAATTTAATCTTTATTGGTCTAATTCGTCAATGGTGGGTTTTTAGGGGCTATGGGGAAAAAATAATATGTAAAATAAAAAATTAAGAAAAATGCATGAAATCTTTATTTGCATTGATAAATCACTGTTTTTTGAGAAGAAAAAAATTAGGTCATACTTGGTATATTGGAATATTTTGGGTCTAGAAACAACAACAAACTAAAATGCAGTAAGCCGGGCCGAATGTATGTCCCCACCATTTGGAAAGATTTTGCAGTTTAAAAAAAAAAAAAAAAAAAAACGTTGAAAAAATAATAAATATAAAATATCCAACGAAGACGTGGTAGTAGACGGTAGACAATAAGACAATATAAGCCAATTTGGAGATGATCGCATAATATTTAGGGAATGAAAAGAACGATCAACTGAAAAAATCCTGATTTTGCAGTTGTTCTACAGGTCGCAATTATAGACCAATCGACGTGGAAGTTAGCATGGGGCTGGAGTTTAGAGCTGGGCAGAGGCCTTCCAGTTTTGATGGTCATCGGGTAATATTTAATGGGTAAATAGACAATAACATTTGTGTTAAATAAAAGTCAAATTTTCCACTATAGACGAAAAGGTCAATTCATACCGTTACGTAGCTGCCGATAATAAATATATCGAATATATAAAGCGAAATATATACAATGTGTTTTTTCACCTGACAACACAGGATTGGGGATATTATATACAGATTGCAATTATCGTCCGATCCTCACGAAAATTTTCATAAGGGTAGGGTTAGGCTCAGAAGGGCTAGGCCTATTGTTTTTAAAGATGTTTGCAATATATTTAGGTGTTGAAACGGACCAACAACTAAAAATGTTCCTGATTGTGCAGCCGTTATAAAGGTCACAAATAGAAATCAAAGGGCACGAAATCGTGCACGAAGTTAGAGTTTAGGAAAATTTTTGTGTGAAAAAAATACCAACATTTCCATTCTACCGAAACGCTGAAACTAATACACAAATGGCGAACCTCTGGCTTTCTTATGCTGATTTCGTTGACGAATATAGCCAAATACTGTAGACAAGCAAATCATATAGATTAGACTAAATTTGAAGGGGTCTCTTGCTTTGGAAGATGATCGCAAAATCTTTAGGGGTTCAAATAAACCAAAAACCGAAAACATTTCCTGATCACACAATTGAAACCAATCGACATGGAATTTCGCCTGAGAATAGAGTTAAGGACAGGGAAAGATTCTAGCGTTTCTTAATGGAAAATGGACCACAACAACTAACAGCATGATGCAGTGCTTAAATATTGGGCAAATGTCCCTGGTCAGGTCAATGTTCCGTGACATAAATTCAAAAGAGAAAGAGGGGCTTCTAACATATTGTAGTGTTGTACGGTATCACATGGTCGGGCCCGCACGACTATAGCCTTTGCTTGTTTCTAATGAATTGTCTGAAAATCCACACAAGGAGTTCTCTCTGAGAAGAGAATTTTCTACGTCTACCTTTTAGTAAGCACCGATATAACGCTACGCCGAGATAGGATCGGTACTTCTATGATTTTCGCGACATTATCCACCGGAATTGCGTAAAAATTCGTATTTGAAGTTCGTAATTGGTAGTACAACCTATTACGAAAACTGTCTATGCCGGTCCACGTCTTAACCCCCATACAACAATATCTCTCTTTATTCGTTTTTCATGATATTAGCGACATTATTCACCGGAATTGCGTCAAATTTCGTACTTGAAGTTCTGAATCGTTGCTATACCCTATGACAATAAATAAATAATTATCCAGCACCACGTTTTCGTATAGCCCCCATATAAAGGTTTGCATTTGAGCGGTATTTTTCGACGCAAGTTTTTTTTTTTTGAAATTTCTAAATTTTAACTTAATTGCTTTTTTATTTGTTCTAATTACGTTTTTCATTCCGCCCATAATTTATGAACAATTTTTGTGAAGAGAATCTGACAGATTCCATCAAGTTTTTTTATTGATGCAAAAATACCACAAATTACGAACATATTTCATGCTATAAATCACCGTTCTGGAAATACGGGTGTCATTGCTGGATTGACCGGCAACAAAACAAATTATAGGAAACATGTACTTGTTTCTTTTGCTTCAAGAAGCGTTTAATATATGTATGTAAGGCGAGCGCAAAAAATTACGAACGAACAAAACCCTTGTAAAGAAAATTTATATATTCTGGGAAAATGAATGAAATAAAAATTTCCCAAGCAGGGGTTGGCTACAATAAATGTGAAAAATGCATGCATGCAAAAAAGTACGAAAAAGAAGAAGAACACAACAACGAAAATATTGTTAACATTCTACGAGCAACGCGTTTGGAACGTTAGCCAGCAACGACGGCGGAGGTGGGACAATGATGATGAGAATGGCGATGGCAATGGCGACGACGATGATGACGATGATGGTGATGGTGATAACGATGATGAAAGAACTCGTTGTCCCTCTTTTGGGCCCTGGCCACTTGAACTACAAATTATATATGTAGTGGAGCACACACATACATACCCGCTCATACGCATGAAATATTTACATGTATGTGTGTATGTATTCGAATATGCAACATGGCAGAGGGCATATGGTTGCATTTAAAGGACCGGACTGGAACAGTGCCGGCGCTTGAAAATTCATTTAAGAGTTGAAATATTACATCAAATATCGCCAGCCATCCAGCAAGGGAGCGAGAAAGCAAGAATTGAAGATCCCTGCATCCTGATGTGGTGCTAAACTGTGAAATGGCATTTAAAAACTACAACAACAACAAGAAGGGATGGATGTTACAATAAAAAAATGAACAAGTTTTAAGCATTGCCATACTGTCGGAGCAGTATCATTGTATTGGCCATACCCCTTGCATGGCTGGTTGAATTTTAAACAATTTTTTTAAAACTTATATTTTTCTTCTTCTTTCTTTTTTTTTCTAGAGTTTTGAATTTTATTTTGTCAATTGTTGAAACTTTAAGCAACACATCTTTATGTATTTTTTTTTCTCTTTCTTTCTCTCTCTTTATTTTCTTTTGCACTTTTCTTTGCTGGCTGGTTGGCTGCCTGTGGTTTTGTGACATGTGTTTTGTGTGTGTGTACGTCTGTCTGTCTATCGGTCGGTGTATGCGCCGAGAACAGGGTGTAGAGTCAACATTTTTTCCCAGTCGTATGAAAAAATATCCCAGTGGTTTGTTAACTTCAATACCGGCAGTGGATTTGTCTGTCATACCGAGCTCTATGCTAATGGTAATGTATGGCATGCCTTTATACTTTGACACTGTTTGTTTGTTTGTATTTTTTTCTGTTGCTTGCTGTAGTTGTAGTTGTTGTTTAACCCTCCCCCACACTGAATTGCCTTTGCACATAACCCCATTATTCTACTTCTCCTTCTTCTCCCGAGTACAGCGTAATGTAGTCTAGTCTTGGCGAAACCACAAACTAGGTTTCACAAACATGACAAACAATTTGATCATTATCCCTCCCCTTGTCCTCATTTTTTGTTCTCTGAGAATCCTTTAACATTTCCTTTGCTAACTGCACTTGTAAAACACCAACAAACAACAACAACGGAATTAGATGCCTTTTCTCCCTCTCTCTTGCACTCGCCCTCTCTCTCTCTCTTAGCTTACTTTCTCTCCAACTACTACTACATACTTATTATTGACTGCATGCTTTTAAGTTTTGTTGTACTCCCACAAGTAATATTGCTGTAATTGTCATTATTATTCTTGTTGTTGTTGGCGTTGTTGTCAAATGACAAATCGAGGTTGTTGATGCTAAGAATTGCAAGAGGAAATTAAAGAATACAAATTTCCAAAGGGGGCCTGTGCGTGTGACTGTGTATGTGTTTGCAAGAGAAATCCACATTCGCCGAGCACTAACCATGAACTGTATTATACAACAATTATCCACAGGGATAATGCTGTTCGGCATACTTTGAATTTATCTGCATGTAGAGAGAGAGGGTGTATCTAATTGGTTGGGATGTAATCTGGAATGCGGTGGACACAGTGTGGAACAAAAGTTGTAAGAGGTGAAATAATTTGAGAAGATTTAAGAAGTTGGCATAATTCCAAAAAATTAAAAAATAACCGAAGGTGATATGAAGCTATGCTGCTGAGTCGAGCCATTTTTGAAAAGCTGTGGAAGCGTCTATATATATAGGAGCCTTATGGAAGTTTTTTTTTTTATATATGGACTTATTTATACAGGAGACTGTGGGAAATTTATATCAAAGACCTGGGTCAAAAGTGAAAAGTGAAGAAAGTCTTAAAGTCGGGCGGGACCGACATATTTAGTAGAGCTTCACATAACAATTAAAAGTTTTTATAGGAGAATTAAATTTTACAAGCTATGATTATAAATATTATTTAAAGTTAAAAGGACTAAATATGCCGAAACATTTGTACCTTTTCAATACGGGCACAATTTACTTTAAATCGGATAAAGATATATATGGGAGCTATATCCTAATCTGAACCGATCTCGATAAAATTTGGCAAATATATTCCTGAGCTTTATTTGATATATGTCCCTGAATATCGTTGTTACGGAGGGCATATTACGGCTGTGGGGTAACAAATACAACAAATTCGATGAACTATATCTGAAGCAATCTTCACCAAATTTGGCATGCTAGTTTCTAGACTCAATTCAGTTGTATGTGCTAAATTCCATCCCATTTGGGCTAATATTAGACGTTTGGTGCACAATAAAAGGTAAATCGGACGAAGTTATATATGGGAGATTTATCCAAATCCGAACCGATCTCGATAAAATTTAGCAAAGGAATTTCTGAGCTCTATTTGATTTATTTCCCCAAATATTGTTGTTACAGAGTGCATATTACGGCTGCGGAGGACTAAAATAACAAATTGGTTGAAAAATATATATACAGGAGTTATAGGTATAACTGAACCGATTTCGAAAAAATTTGGCAAACTTATTTTCAGGACTAATTTGGTTGTATGTGCAAAATTCCATACTATTCGGGCTGATATTACACGTTTGGTGCACAATAAAAGGCAAATCGGACGTATATATATATATATGGGAGCTATATTTAAATTTTGAACGATTATCTCCAATTTCAATAGGGTTCGTCCTTGGGCCAAACAAATAATTTGTGCAAAATTTCACCTGGATAGGGCAATAAATGGGTTCTGTACTTTGTTTACAAAAATAAATGGACAGACAGACGTTCGAACGGACGTTCAAAAGGAACTATGGGTGTGTCTCGTTTCCTTTTGCTTGTTGCACAAAGACATAATACCCTGACCACCTTGTGATGTAGGGTATAAAAAACAAGTAAAAGAGCAGCAGCAGTTCGAACAAGCCGAAGTGTATTAAATCCACCATTTTGAAGGAGCGTGAAAAAATTCCGTTGAAAAATACCTCTCAAATGAAACCCGTTATATGAGGGGTATTTTTTTTTTTTCATAGATTCTCGATTTTGAAACTCAGTTACGAAATTTGAAACAATTCCGGTGAATAATGTGCTACAATCATCAAAATACTGATTTTCATGTAGGGAATGTTATATGGAGGCTGTACGAACACGTGGACCTGCATAGGCAATTTCCAGTCAAAAGCTGTGATACTTACTAAGAACTTTCAATGCGAAATTTAAAACAATTGCGATGAAAAATGTCGCTAAAATCATCAAAATACCGAACATCGGGATGTATCGTTACATGAGGGCTATACGAAGACGTATGGATGGCTGTAGCCCACATTAAACTTTAAGTACCAAATTTGATACAATTCCGGTCTATAAAGTCTCTAAAATCATAAAAATACCGAATATCCCCACAATCCTATTTAGAAACAATGAACCAATCCGTTATATATATTTTTGTCAGTGCTAGATCAGGTGCGAAAATAGACAATATTGGCCCACTCCATCAAGGACCTCCCCCACATAGGGTCAAAATTTGGAATAATTATATGTCTTATAAAATCGGAAATAAGAGTCCGATTGTTTTCAAATTTCACACAACTCGATATTTTTATTATCAGAACAACTGGCGCGAAGATAGGATATATCGGTCCTCTCCTTTTGGTACTCCCTCAGAACGGGTCAAAATTGGGGATAGCCTAAAGCTCATAAAACAGGAAATAAGCATACCATACCTTTCAAACTCAGCACATCTCAATAATTATATCGAGGCAAGATCTCATGTGAGTATTGTAGATATAGGTCCACTCTTTCTAGTACCTCCCCAGAAATTTGGAATAACCAAAACGCTAATAATATACAGAATGATTTTTTTGTGACGTATAATATTAGTGTAGAGATAATATCAATCGGCCAAACCCTTCTGATGCCTCCCCCCACCAAAGGGTCATAATGTTTAATACTTATATCCATTATAACTTGCGAAACAAGTTTGCGATTCTTATATAAATATTCCCCTCCTTCTGGTACCTTCCAACAAATTTTAAACATTTTTCTTATGGTTCCACCACCGCAAAGGTTCAACCATTTTGAATAATAATATCTCTCATTAAATTCGAAAAAAGCATATGATTCCTTCTAAACTTCTTATCTTTCCATTTTAATATTAACACAAGATCTGGGGTGAAGGTGATAGAAATCGGTCCACCCCTCCTGGTACCTCCCCTGCAAAGCATCACAATTTTCAATATTTATATCTCTCATAGTTTGCAAAGTTAATCCACTATTCCTTTCGAACTTGGTATGTGTTAATATTTTTTTCAATCAAAGGTCTGATGTCAATATGAAATTCATCGGTAACTCCCCCACAAAAGTTCAATATTTTGAGAATTAACATAAAATTGGAAATAAATGTCGATTTTCTTTAAATTGTCCACATCCTAATATTTTTGACAGTATAAAAGGAAGTTGATGAAGAAAGTGGTCGATGTAGTTCAAATAGGGTTCCAACTGTCGGAAAAACCGAAGTAGCAACTTCCTAACATGTTTCGCTTGGAAAAAGGGTACAATAAATAATATTATAGTTCTGTCACGGTGTGTTATTTGTAGTCCGATTTGGGCACTACCTACGAGTGTTACTATTAGTTCGTACCGACCGATGTAGTTCATATTTCCACTTTTTATACCCTACACCACAAGGTGGTCAGGGTATTATGTCTTTCTGCATTTGTTTGTAACAGGCAAAAGTAAACGAGATAGACCCATAGTTCCTTTTGATGATCTGCATAGAATCACATTCTGAGGCGATTTATGCATGTCCGTCCGTCGGTCTGTCCGTCCTTCCGTCAGTCCATGTATTTTGGTACAAAGTACAGTTCGCATTTATTTCCCTATTCAAATTAATTTTTTCACAAATCATTCGTTTGGCCCAAGGACGAACCCTATTGAAATTGGAGATAATCGGTCAAAATTTAGATATAGCTCCCATATATATCTTCGTCCGATTTGTCTTTTATTGTGCACCAAACCTGTAATATCAGTGTGAATAGTATGGAATTTTGCACGTACGATCAGATTGGACCTGAAAATAGTTATGCCAAATTTGATCGAAATTGGTTCAGATTTACCGATTTAACTTTTATAATACACCAAACGTCTAATATTTGCCCAAATGGGATGGAATTTAGCACATGCGACCAATTTGAGTCTAGAAGCTACTATGCCAAATTTGGTGAAGATCGGTTCAGATATAGCTATAGCTCCCATATATACTGTTCATCCGATTTGTTCTATTTGTTACCCACAGCCGTAATATGCACTCCGTAACAAGAATATTCAGGGAAATATATCTCAAACAGATCAGAAATATCTTTGCCAAATTTTATCGAGATCAATTCAGATTTGGATATAGCTCCCATATATATCTTTATCTGATTTCAAATTAATTGTGCACCAAATGGGTAATACAAGTCCGAATTTAAAAGATACAAATGCTTCGGCATATTTAGTCCTTTGAACTTTAAATTATAATTATAATCATAGTGTGTATGATTAAATTCTCCCATAAAATCTTTTAATTGTTATGTGGAACTCTACAAAATTAGGAAAGTGGTGTAGGGTATCAAGACTTTAGGACTTTCTTTACTGGTTTCTGTTGGAAAATGATAAAACGACGTTTAAAATGTATGTCAGCTCAAAGTTTTGTTACGAATTTTGACCTTTGCATCTTTTGCGGAAGAGGCACATAAATGATCCATTTTCGCACTTTGAAGGAGACCCGGTTATATAAATATTACGATATCCGAAGTTTGGAGCAAATTTTTATCATTTGGTATGAAGTGATGTCCCG